TCCGATCATCCGGACAACTCAGCTGGTTCCAGCGTTCGCCCTTCGATCCACCGACTCGTGGCGGGGTGGGCCCGAGTCGCTTATGCACTTGCCGTTAAGCTCTGACTGGGATGTCCCGCGGCGTATGGCAGCAGCCGCGCTTACGCTCAGGTGGTACTAGAGGGCATGACGAAGCGTGTCAATTATTGCGCCACGTTAAGTTTGGGCCGCATAATTCTAAAGGTTTACCAGCATTCTACGAGCTGGTTACCCCATTTTATCCAGGAGACGTCCTTGAAATCCTGACCGCCCCCAAATCAAATTGCGTTGCGTCGACTTGAACCTAGCGATTTTGTTTTCGTCCCCATAGCAGACAGCTGTTGAGTATTCCTTGACGCAAAAAGGTGTTCCGCCTCCTGGGATGCGGGGCCGATGGCTCCGCACGTTAAGATCGCAATCCCAGCCGCGTGCCCAGTGGGAGCTGCGCTTTAGTCAGAACCAGCGACGACCTTGCCGTGCACTACGCGGAGCTGCGCTGTAGTCAGAACCAGCGACGACCTTGCTGTGTGCGCTACGCGGAGCTGCCGGACCCGGAGCTGACCTGAGCTACCGTTGGTGACTGTTGCAGCGCCTGGGCAGTGTGTCCGGTGGGAGCTGCGCTGTAGTCAGAACCAGCGACGACCTTGCCGCGTGCACAGTGGGTTCTGCGCTGTGGTCAGAACCAGCGACGACCTTGCCGTGTGCACTGCGCGGAGCTGCCGGACCCGGAGCTGCCCTGAATTGCCGTTGGCAGGGGCGGATCCAGCCTGGAGTTGTTTTTTTGTTGTTTTTTTTGGGGGGGGCAGCCGTTCGTCGCCAGCTGGCTGGTGTGGGATCCGAGTCCAGTGCATGGTGCCTCTCGCGAGTACCTAGTAGGGACACAATTCAAGCACCGAAATGTTTTGAATCTCAAACAGAAGTAAAACAAAACAGTTAAAACAGTTAAATTTAAAACAGACGGTATGACGAAACTTTTATGAAGTTCTGGGAATGTTTTTTTTTTGGGGGGGGGGCAAAACATACTCTCGAGTTTTTGGGGGGACCATGGCCCCGTGCCCCCCCCCCCCTCCAGGATCCGCCTATGGCCGTTGGTGGCTGTTGCAGCGCCTGGGCAGTGTGTGCGGTGGGAGTTGCGCTGTAGTCAGAACCAGAGACTGCCTTGCCGTGTGCGCTGGCCGGAACTGCCGCGCCCTGAGCTGCCACTGGTGACTGTAACAGCGGCTGGGCAGTGTGCACACGGCCCGGAACTGTCCTGAGCTGCCGTTGGTAACTGTTGCAGCGGCTGGGCAGTGGAGCAACCCTGAGCTGCCGTTGGCAACTGTTACAGCGTCTGGGCAGTGGAGCCGCCCTGAGCTGCCATTGGTAACTGTTGCAGCGGCTGGGCAGTGGAACCGCCGTGAGCTGCCGTTGGTAACTGTTGCAGCGGCTGGGCAGTGGAGCTGTTCCGCTGTTGGTGACTGTTGGAGCGGCCGGGCTGCCCTGAGCTGCTGTTGGTGGCTGTTGCAGCGTCTGGGTAGTGTACACGGCTCGGAGCTGCCGTACGTGTTCGGTGACCCGCTGCTGCCGGCGGCGGAGACGGGCATCCGCTACACGTCCGGCCCCGACCTCAGCCGCGCGGTCGTCGCTCTCTGGACCAACTTCGCCAAGACCGGGTGCGAGTTCACCACCGATGGGGCTGGAGTCGGCGCTTTGTGCGAGGAGGCGGGCTGAGCGAGTCCTGCGTCACGCTCCGCGTGTCAGAACTCATTGTGGTCTGTGGCGACAGACTTAGAAGGATTTGGTAGCCATTAAAGTAGGCGTTTGCAACGCGCCTGCATGCTTGCTGCCAAGTTGTGAAAATATGACCCGAGCTGCTGGCAGTATCACATACGTGGCCAGTAGGCACTGCATGTTCTACCCCCTGTCCCTCCCCCTAGACATGCGCTGACCTTTCTCATGACCCCCAGGGACCCGAACGGGCCACGGCAGGAGGCGCGCGCCGCTCTAGCGGCCGGGAGCGGAGCCGATACAGAGCCGTCACCTGGCCGCCCTACAACGCCACGCACCGCAGCTACCTGAACCTGGGTGAGACGAGCGACGCCACAGGGGACTCCGAAGCGGCCGCTCGCCTGTAACGACGCCGCGCCGGCAGCTGCAGAAAGCTGGCACCGGTCGCACTCGTGTCTCGGTGGACGGGGACCATGGCAAAGTTAAATGAAGCTACTTTGAAACTGAGTGGGGCTCTTTCGTTTTCCTGGTGTCTGTTGTCACCTTTACTTCAGGATCCGGTTTTCGAGCGCAATGGCACTTGGAGTGAAGCTTGACATTTCATTCCGGTGGTCATTATCGAGTCTAACGAGCTTCAGGAGTTTTTCACGTAAGTTATTAACGGCATCAGAATGGTGCCCCACGCTGAGAACTCAGTCTTGTAGGAAGCCTGATATGAAACTGCGTGGTTGCAACAACTACTTTTTTGCATGTATATTATTTAATGTCTTCTGGTATGGAAGAGTACGATCCGATGCCTAAAGAGGTTGACATTAACGATGTGTGATGGACACACCCACACCCACACCCACACCCGCACACACAGCGCGCGCGTGCAAACACACACACACGCATATATATATATATATATATATATATATATATATATATATAATATATATATAATATGTAATGCGGGGCCTTTTCGATATCCTGTTTACCTACGGGGGTCTAGAACTGCCAAAAAGCACCGAGGGTCTCTCGGGATCTTCGCACCTCTAGTGCCAGGGGAGGCGGCATGACCCCAGGGCGCCCTGGGCTGCGCCACTGCGGTCACTGCATGAGGACGGGAAAACGTCGGCCTGATGGAGCGCGACGAGCGGACCGCATCAGCGTCCCGCCGACGATGGGCTGGCGATCGTCGCGCCGGGGCGTCCATGAGTGCGGGGAGGGGAGGAGGAGGGGGCTGCTGCGACTCTGCAGCTGTCTGGTTTGGCGCGAGCCGCAACTCATCAGTATGCAGCGCGGCGTCGGTCGGCGTCGACGCTGCTGAGAATCCGCGCTAATCTTACCGTGTGACGGGGCATGGCACCGGCTGCGGGCTGGCGATAACGGCCCGGGGCGGGGAACGCCCGCCTCTGCTGCGCGCGGCGAAACAAGGTGCTGTACATGCAGCAGGACGTGGCGGGGGTGGGACTCGCGCAGCTGCATCAGACTGGGACGTCGAGCATGCACGACACGAGGTCACAGACAGACGGCCGGTCGTAATGGAGCAAGTGTTGAAATGTTGGCGGCGCCTCAGGGCTTGTGCTTGGACGCGCAGGAATTTGCACCGATCAACTTATGTTTGGACCGCTGTCAGGATGATCGATCTGACGCTAACATCGCGCTCGCTCCGCAGGCTCGAAGCTGCGCGTGCGCAGCCGGTACCGCGCGCGCGAGGTAGCCTTCTGGGCGCGCCTGGTGCCGCTGCAGCGAGCGCGCGCCAGCGGTCGGGACGCGCGCCACTGGCGTTCGAACAGGCCGTCGAGACGGCGTCGGAGCCGCTCTTCAGCGGACTTGTGCGGCCTGCCTGCTCTGGCCCGCCCCCGACGCGTCCTGCGCCACCGGCGCCGACCAGCGCCGCGCCGGCGCCGGCGCCGGCCAGCACGGCGGCGCCCGTCACCACACGCAGTCTGCAGACAATGTCGCGCGACACTGGACCGGCGGCCGGCCGCGCGCACGCCGCCGCGCTCGCGCTCACGGTCGCCGTCGGCGGCTCGCTGCTCGTGCTCAACCTGTGCATCTTCGCCGCTATCGTATGGCAGCGGCGGAGCCAGGAGGCGGCGGCGCGGCGACTGTCGGGGGGCTCGCGGTCCGCCGCCGGCCGGGACGCCTCGCCGGCCGTGAGTCCAGTGGGTCCGGGCCGACCGCTGGCGGAGGAGTCACCGTCGCCGTCGCCGCCGCCGCCGCCGCCGCCGCCAGTGCTGCGGGGCGTGACGATGGGCGCCGGTCGGACCCGCACCGAAGCGCGGGCGGGCCCCGGGACGGCCTCGATGACAGTGACCAGCGCTTCGCCCGCCACCGTCCACAGCTGCCCAGCTGCCGCAGTCGCCCCTCAGCTGCAGCTGGCACACTGTTCGGCGACCGCCCAGACCTTTGCTGGTTGTGTGAGAGAGACAGGGGAGGAGAGCCGCGGCAGGTGCTTGTACATCACCGGCGATTTTACCCGTCCACGTCGCGCGGCCGGTGGCAGCCGCTCTGCCGACAGGCGCGGCTCGAGCGGACTGACGCCCTCCGTGTACAGATCGCGCGCGGCAGAATGAAAGAGGGGTCGAAGGGGTCATGCGATGTTTGGGATCGACGGAGCACCACGGCCGTCAGCCGCACCGCAGCCAATCTGGAAAACTACGACTTTAGAAATGGCTAGACGTTTGCCCCAACTAAAGATTTATGACTGGAATCAGGACAGTTTATTCCTGAACGGCGTCATAACTCATACCGGGGTGATTTGCCCGCTGGACAAAACAATACGAAGCGGTAACGATTGTCGCACTGCGTGAGTGTGTTCACGCTTCTGCAGGTCATTGTTTCAGCATTGGTCCACAACTCATCGAAGCGTAGCCAGCTGCTCACTGAGAAGCAATGAATCGTGTGTGGCTACGTGTTTTAAGAACTTGCCAATCGCACGCTCGCGTCTGACCACGGCTGTGACGACGATTGTATCATCTTGTGTAATACATGCGCGTGTAAAACGACGCGTTGGCCGTGTTAACACGGTAATAACTCGAGTAAACCGATCATGAAGGCCTTTCACAGAAGCATTGCAACCAGCGATGCCTTGCCTGTTGCACTCAACATGAAAGAACAGTGGCTTGAGCTTCAAGGGCACCTCAGGCAAGGCTACAGGCAGCAATCCGTACAGTGAGGGACACTGTCGTTATCTCTTTCGTCGGTTTTCTTATTGATATGTATATATATATATATATATATATATATATATATATATATATATATATATATATATATATATATATATGTCTACGCACATGTAGTCCGCAGAAGTGCTCCGTTTGGCAGTTGACATTCGACGTCAGATACACGAGCCTTCGCAGTGATACATGCTGTCATGATGTGCAAAAATCAACTGACATCGCTGCCACAAAGAAAGGTCTGCAACGTAATGCTAAAATATTACGGCACTCATCCAGCTGAGCCGTTGTAGGTCGCCGAGCGCACAATCAGGCTCATTCAGGTCTCATTTAGTCACTTACATGATATCGAGTCAAAGTCAGGTTTCATTTATTTCTTTATTCACCTCGTAACTGCGCCTTCCGCACCGAGCGCAAGGCCCCTGACTATGGCTGGTCCTGACTCAAATTAAGTACACGAAGTAACGGTGGGACAGGTAAATAATAAGACGGGGTGCTAGACACGAGCAAAATCGTATTATCGTGAATAAGGCCACGTCAAAAAGGTAAAAGAATACTTATCAATCAACTTTACACGCTCATCACAATCGATTTCATTTCACGTTCACGTTCGAATTGTATGCGCATGTACATATCATCACCAGAGAAAATACGGTTGCGTACGCGCAGAGGAAGTGTCCTCCTTTTTTTCCACTTACTTCAGGATCTTCAAACAAAGTCTAGTTGCAGTGCATGACATGTTCGGAGGAAAAAGTCGGAGTGAGCCCATGTGTAAAAAAGCCTCGTGGAATATCACCGAAACCTAATGTTGACTTCAACCCAAATGTTACTGCTTTCTCATTATCGCCAAATACCATCAAGGTTTCGAAACCTTGATGCCTGACTTCGTGTGTATTGTGTTGTGACGTAAACCCCTGGTTTCGAGAGTTCACGCAGGATCAAACGGAGTGGAGTACAGCAAGCAGCCTGGAGCGTCCAGATTGGCAATGTAAGCGGGCAGGAGTCCG